CATTAATCAGATTTGCTGATTGGCATTGGTATCAACACTTTTCTGTTTTCCTCAAATATGAGGTGTCTTCTTGGGCTAGCTAGGGCTCTTATGATTGCTACTACAAGTTCCTACAGAAAGGCTTGTGTGAGAGACATCATTCTTGACTGTACTGGCAGCTATTGGCACATGCATTTCATGACACTGGAGGCATTTGAAGATGTGGAAGAGAAGTTTCATTGGTGTCTGCCTTGGATCTGCCGAGACAGGAGTAAAATGTAACACAAATCCCTTATATACACAGTCAGATCCAGCAGGTACTAGGTGTTTGGATACCAGCCTAAATTGTGCTCCATGTAGTAGGGTGAATGTAAAGCACATGATGGATCCTTCCCAAAGTCTGGAGAAACTGTGCTTTAGACACTGAGACATGGTGTTTTTAAGGCTGCATGTGCTGGCTCTCTCAAAAGTAACTCTACCAATTCTGGGTTCGAGTTCTCACAAAACCAAGAGGCATCCTCACTAAGTGGCACTGTCTATCTGCAGTGTAATGACATGAGCTCTTCCCTCAGAAGGCATTTGAAAGCAGTAATTTGGGGTCACCATCCTTTCCAGTTCAAGGCAAAGATGGCATTACACAACCTCATTTACTCCAACATGTTTTCCTCCTGTTGTGAGCCCAGTTGAGTGCCGTAGGACTCCTTCTTTCTCCTATCACACTGTAAGGCTCCACCAAGGCAGGACAGATATTAAAGATATCTATACCACTATTCCTTGAAACACTATTCAGGGGACTGTGCTTTGGAGTAGAAAAAAAAATTGGTTTCTTTGCATTAAAACCATGACAGTTCTCAGCTGAAGAATAAGCAGAGAGCTTGAACCTCTGAAATCCCTTCTCTCCAGGCAGGTGCTTCCCCAGACTGGGGAAGGTACCTCTTTCTGCCATTTTATTTCCCCACTTAGCCTTTTTCTGCTCCCCATGCCACCTGCTTGCTCCCAGAGTGGCTGTGTAAGGAAAGGGGGGAAAAAAAGTTCCAAAAATAGAGAGCAGAAACTTAATTATTTTCCTCTCAGTGTTTCTCCCTATAATTGGTGTCTTTCATGTCAAGATGATCTCAATTTGTATTATGGGCTCTGTGCATGCAGTGCTTTCTCTTTGGTCTATAAAGAAATTTTCAAGTGTATAAATCATAGTGTACATTAAATTACACTAGCCTTTTACTTATTTCCTCATTTTTTTCTTCATCTGTTGGATACCCATTCCCTCCCTCTATTTTTCCTTGTCTCAGAGATTCTCTTCTTCTCCTCCCTCATGCCCCAATCTCAAAAAATAAGTTACCAAATATCATCTCCTCTCATTTTGCTAAAGGGCCTGATGGTCTTTGCCTGATGGCAAACTGACCACATCCAGCTCTTCACAAGTAGGAAGAGCTATTTCCAGTTCTTCCAAAGGCTGGATCCAAAGGTTACTTGAGTTCAGCAGTGATTTTTGCAGCCTCTTTGCAGCACACCTCTTCTAAATTCTTAGCTCATGTGACTATTTCTCTTTCTGATTGCCTGGGATGCAGGTTCTGGCTATTTTGGCATAAGCAGCAGGGACCTCCTCTCACCACAGAAGTTAGATTAGCTGTTGTATCCACATTAGTAACCCATATATAAACAGTGAGTGCAGCTGTCAGTTAACAGCTCTGGAGTCGGACCTTGGTATGTGGATGATGTCAACACCAACCTGCAGTAAACACAAACCAGTTACAATGGGGGAAATCAGAGCAGGGAGACAGAGGTGTATTCAGCTTTATTATCCTGTGTATGGGGACTAAGATGTGGTTCATCTCACCTAACTCTAACCTTCCTGCATAGACTACTGACTACCTTTGTGATCAGTGGAGAGGAACAGGCACTGCAGAGAACTATTCATCAAATTCATCTCAGACACCAGTCTGAGGAGTGGCTTAAAATCACATGTTTTAGACATTTTTACTTATATGACATAAATCACACTCATGACCTATGTTTAACAGATCTTTAAATGTCTATAGCAGCTAGCTACTCACATGTGGTTACAGGAGAGCTATGGCAGGCTGTCTGTCCTGCTGATGCCAAATACGTTGCCTCCGGCCCTGATAGTATCTTATGATACACATGTGTGAACAACATATCTTTATAATTACAGAAGCAGGGTCTGATACAAGGTTTATCCAGTACCAGATTCTTTGCTGGTTTTAGCACTTAAAATGTCTGGAGCTTTTTTGAGGATACAGGCATACAGGAGAGCAGAAATTACTCAGTAGTGTCTGGAGCCATTGATCCTTCTTTATCCAAATGTGTATCTAACTGTAGTCAGTTTATGTCTAAGTACATTTTCCTCTTGAGACAACAATGCAGCAGGATCTGCTAGGCTCACCATCATCTTAACCTACTTGTCAGCCAGTTTGATAACTTTTTATTACTAAATATTTGTGCAGAGCAATCAGAATAAATCTAAATGATTATGAACTACTTCCAAAAGAAAAAAAAAAAAAGGAAAAAAAAAGAAAAAAGAAACCTAACAGCTTTGCAGCTTTGCTGCCCAACTGCAATTAGCCACAAATAAGGGAAGGGCAGATTCACCCCTACTGTTCTCCAAGGTAATGGAAACACTGGAGGAGAAGCATAGAGATGCTATAAAATGAGTAGTAAAATATTTAGATATTAAATAGTAGTACTAACTAGATACAGGACATGACAACTAAAAAGCTTGCAAGTCATTCATTGCAAAGCCAAGAGATATAAGATTAAATTTTCCAATGTTTTCTAGAGAAAAGACGATGATTCAGATCTATACCTGTCTGGGATTGGGAAGAATCAGGAATAAAATTTATAATCCCTGCATCTGCAGGCTAAACCCTGACTCCAGCACAAAGCTTCATCAGGGCTGTGGCTTTTGGCGCCAGTGTCTGAGAGCACAGGGGTGGTTATGGTCAATGATTTTTGCAGGCAAGACATGGAGGGCAGCTCTGAGAACCTTTGCATTCTGCCTGAGAGCCAGAATAGCTTTACTGGACTTGCCACAATTATTGTGGGATCCCTGTGGGGGACATCAATCTCTGTAAAATATGCATATTCAATTTAACCCCCATCTGCTTCTTATTTGTTTGTTTGTTTGTTTGTTTTAATTTTGAGGTGAGGGAGGCATCCTGTGACACTTATCAGCAAATTTTTGGTCTTTGTTAGGAAGATTTCCATTGCCATCTAAATTCCTGCTCCTTGTGATGCCTGTTTGAGTTTACCCTTTCCATAGCTGCCAAACCTAAGGATAATTTCAGTCCACTCAGTTGTGGTCACACAGAAAAAAAATATTTTGAGTAGTTCATCCCCATACTGTTTGTATTGCTTTAAGTGACATGGAGGAAGGGTGGGGAGAGGCTTTCAGAAGAAAATCTCAGCAGTTTCCAATCCAATCTGCATCCCTAGCTATTAACAGGAGGGGAATATCCTCACCCTGTGCATCAGACACCCACGTCATGTTAGGCACCACCAGTTAAGATGGTTGTGGACATCTGCTGCCCCTTTCTCCTGGGAGCGAGCAGCTCTGGGTATAAGGGTATGTAGAAGGAGACACCTCCTTTAAGGGTGTCTGGTCAAGGACCTTTTCCAAGGGAACAAGGGATAATTAGAAAGGGAGGCAGGATTCCAGCAGGGTTATCCGCCCCACTTCTAAGTGGAGAGACAATGACAACTAGCTGATAAGATGTGAACCAGGGGGCCCAGACTGGGAGGGTACAGAAACAGCAGAGCTCTGCAGCCATGGGGGACAAAGCCCCTGGGCCTGGGGCCGGCTGCTGAGGGCCAAGCATCTGCATTTTCCCCAGCCTGGTGTCCACAGGGTGTGCATGTGCATTTGCCAGCAAGCTTCAAGCTGAACAAGCCAGTGAGGAGGCGACCTGTGAAGTGGGCAAGGGGCCTGGGTCCAGGCAGGGGTGCTTGGCTGGCTGTGTCTGCTAGTACGTGAGCATGGTGTGGAAGTGCTGCTGAAGGCAGCCCTTGGCTGGGCAGCCCGTGTGACTGGCTGTGTCAGCGTCCTGTCTGTCCGCGTGCATCCATGTGTCTCTGGGGTATGTGCCCAGCTTTGCTACCTGCTGGGCCTGCAAAAGGGAAAGCGGCAAACATGTCCCCCAACCTGGGCAGAGACCCTAGTCCCCAGCACCGGGCTGGGCCCCAGCAGCTGGGCAGGAGCTGGGCTGGGCCCAAATGACCGGAGAAGGTGGCTGTGCTCTGCACCTCGCCTAACACCGGTGACAGTGATGGTCCCTAGTGCTTCTCTTACAGAGACAGAGCAACAGGGATAAGCCAGAGAACATAAATCACATTCACAGCACAATGGCAAGGTTTTTATATGTACTTGTGTTCTGATGTGAGAAAGGAAAAAGGCATCTGAAAAATCATAACAGGGAGAGGTTTTGACTTGCATATTACACTCACCCTCTTAAAAAAATCCTCAACACCCAGCATTTCCATAGCATGTGGACAAGCCAGATCTAAGTCTCATTCACCTGGTATGACTCTGATACTCATACAACTGACTGTCCTACCAAGCCAATAGTTGAGGTGGAATTTACTTTCCCATTTTCTTTTCACCATGACAATCTCAAGAAACCTTTGCAATTAAAGTTTCACTGAACCATATGTTCTAACAAAGTACTTCTGTTCTGACACAGTGTTTCCAGAGGGAACTATTAGAAATTTAAAAAGTTACATTTAAAATTTCATGACCTGTGTGAAATGAGTCAGATCCCTCACCTGGTGTGATTCAGCAGAGCCCCTGTTAGGTAAGTGGGGTGACACTGATTCACCTCAAACCAAGAAGCTGCCCAAGCAGCCTGTGCTCTGTTGCCACTTCTTTGCTTACTAATTGCTTTTTTCCCTCCTCATGGAGTCTATTTTGATGCTAACTGATGCACAGTAAAATACAAAGCAAGGCTCTGTATAACAAGGTTTGACTCCATTGCTAAATATCTGTCTCTCTTTGTTTTCTTTTACAGATGAACAGACCAATCCAGGTGAAACCAGCGGACAGCGAAAGCCGAGGAGGTAGTTGACTGCATTGCTTTCATCCACAGTGCTAAGTTGTCGCCTCTGGCTTCTCTCAGGCAATGTGCTGATCAATAAGTAACGTAATCACTGCCACAGAAATTCCCTCTGCAGAAAAGATTCTATTTATTAAATCTCCTTTACTTCATCTCACTTTCCTCATATTCAATTATTATCTGATTTTAAAAGGCAGGCAGGTGCCAGCGATTGCCTGGGAAACAAATAACTGCCTTGTTAAGAAGTGAAGCATCAGGCACTGACTTAACAAAGTTTAACAGCAGTGACGGCAACATAGGTTTTTCAAACCTATGTTAGGACAAGCTGCAGAGGTGTGTAATTTCATTAGGATAAAGCAGATATTTTACGTTTTATCTGATCATGTTGTTTCTGCTTGAACTGAAGCAACTCTGTTTTTGGAAAAGTAAATTCTGAGGAGTTTTCTGTACCTTTATCAGCTTATGTGGATAAACCTGTTGTGGAAGCTGAAGACTTCTCTTAGTACCAGGGAGTTATTCAGGATTTTCACAGGTGTAGCTGGAATCAGGATCTAGTCCTTTGCTTTTCCATGCTGCATGGTGGATTTGGAAGGCTTTGCTAAGAGACCACTCAATGGATCACAAGTGAGAAGGTGTTTTCTGTGAAAGGTTTTCTGACAAAACTGATTTTGTGATACTTCACCCATAAAATGGTCAGTTATTCAGGACAAGTTATTCTGTTTATTTTCTTGTATCAGTACATTTCTATATATACATATATATACATATAACGACATGATACTTCTCAATCCCTGTCTCTTTGAGTGACAAAAAAGGAGAAGCTTTTGTCCATATATGTAGTAAAAACACTAGTGCTTCTGTATCATATAAACATGGGAGTAGATTTTGTCATTTATTAATGTATGAAATGTATGAAAACTCTTTAATTTCCACCATGGACGTAAACTCTTCTTCACTTATGTGACTACTATCTTTGTGTTGGCATTAGTGGAAATCACCAGCACCAACTACTTAAAAGGAGCAAAACACCTCGCAGACAACAGTCCCTGAAATTGTGCTCTTTTTCAGTTGAAAGCTTTGGATTCCAGAGGATTTGACTGTGTAAATGTGGGGCTGAAACTCTTCAGTGACTCAAGTCATTGGAAGACTTTGTACGTAGCTCGTAGTTAAAGGGCTGGTGTCACGGAGTGGTGAAACCAGCAGGTTGGCAGAGGCTCTGTAAGGAAGGTCTGTGGTGCCGTGTAACTGCAGAGCAGGTCAAAAGCTGAATGCTGGAAAAATGTCAGAAAACCCAGGGATAAATATGGCGCTTTTGGAGTCCCCATAAAGTAAATTCAAGGGAATTCGGCCAGCAGTGTGCAGAAAATGTTTGACAGGCTCTGTGATGGCAAGTTCTGCTAGCCATAGCACACTTCTAACCCGCAACAAAGGCATGACACATAACACAGCATCATCCAGTGTTTTTTAACAGAACAGGATTAATTTGCCCCCTTTTCCTTCCCCTCTGAAGATCTGGCTCTGTGTCTGGGTAAGTGTTGGTAAGGCTCATCTGCCTGGGCAAATGAGGGGACATTATGCACATTCCAGTGGAGCTCCTGCTGACAGCGAGAATGAAGGGAGGGCCTTTTGTCTATTTAATTAGACATACCAAAAAAAAATAATTAAGCTGGCCAATTTGCTTAGTGCGCCTACAGGGTATGTAGCTCCCAATCACTCTTTTTGTTTGTTTGTTTGTTTTTAAATGCAAATCACTGATAGAGAACACATCTGGCTTTCTGGGGAGGGTTTTCAAACACTTACTAAGAGCAGCTGCTTTAAGGAGGGGTGGTTTGACCCTCACAGGACTTGGGTGGTGGTTTGATTCCGCATTATCCGTCACACCAGTAGTTCCCTCTCCATTGTATTTTAGCTAATTATCTCCCCAACTGTCCTGGTTTCAGTTAGAACAGAATTAATTTTCTTCCTAGTAGCTGGTGGAATGCTGTGTTTTGGCTTAGGATGAGAAGAGTGCTGATAACACCCCGATGCTTTAATTGTTGCAGAGCAGTGCTTATACTAAGCCAAGGACATCTCAGCCTTTTGCTCTGCCCTGCCAACGGGCAGGCTGGGGGTGCAGTAAGAGCTGGGAGGGGACAGACCCAGGACAGGTGACCCAAACTAGCCAAAGGGGTATTCCATACCATTTGACGTCATGCTAAACAATATATAGGGGTGGCTAGCCGGGGGGAGGGGGCCGGACTGCTCGGGGTTAGGCTGGGCATTGGTCAGCGAGTGGTGAGCAATTGCATTGTGCATCACTTGTTTGTACATACTATTATTACTTTCGTATTATCACCATTGTATCATTATTATTATTATTGTTATTATTATTTTTGTTATTATTATTTTCCTGTCTTATTAAACTGTCTTTATCTCAACTCACGGGCTTCACTTTCCATTTCTCTCCCCCGTCCCAGAGAGGGAGGGGGGAGGGTGAGCGAACGGCTGTGTGGTGTTTAGCTGCCGGCCGGGTTAAACCACGACACCAACACACACAAACTTTATATTTTCTTTCCCACTCCGTTCCTGTATTGCTCCTGTCGGTGGTGATCATAATGCAGGGTCCAAGCGGGTATGCTCATCATTGGTGTGAAAGGCACATTGTCCTAATTCCCCACTGACAGGCTGCTTGTGGGCTGGTGAGGTTTCGAAATGGCATGACTCAAGGACAACTAATGGGGGAAAAGAACAATTGGCACCCAAGGGATGCATTGCATGAAAACTTATGTTCTTCATGAGACCACTGGTTAAAGCAGGTGCAGCAAATAGAATGCTAAAAAGGAGGCTGTGAATCTTAGGAGCACATCAAAAGACTTCATTAGGTCTGCAAGATAAAGGTCAACTTCAACAACAAAGAAACTTAAGTTGTAGCTTATTATACCCCATCCGTGTATAGGGATGGGACATGAGGGAAGTGGGGAGCTTGGTAGATGAAGCATCTCTTCTGCACAGCACAGGTCTGCAGTCTGCTCAGAGCACTTACTCTGAATACGCCTCTGTCTTTTGGCTCGTGGGGAATTTTGGTGCCAGGTATTAAAGAGAGGATGCAGTACTGTTTGAACCTGCAGCTTGCCAGGAGGCTGTACTGGAAATGGTGAGTGGTGTTCTTGAGGAAGTAAGGTTGTGTTTTATACAAGGGCAAATACCTGCATTTTGCTGAAGTGTGAATCCTTGACTTTCCCAGTCAGTTCTCCCAAAACCCAAACCTGATAGGAGTCTGGAATTTACTCCAACAACAACGACAACAAAAAGAGATTCTGCTCAGCCTTTTTACCCCTTTTTTTCTGCAGTCTGGGTTTCGCTGGTCTTTAATCCCTTCTGCGTCCTGATTCTTCGTTGAACCAAAAGTTGGTTTGTTGGCATTTAGTGTGTGTGAGCATGAATTTAATGTATCAGACCATCTAGATTTGGGGAAGACTTCAAACTGTTGCTTGGCACAAATTTCACTCAAACCAACTAAACAGAAATACTGAGTGCCCCTTATTAGTTTTGCTGTTTTTATTATTCTGTTTGTTAATCCCCATATTGGACTAGGAGCAAGACAAAGAATGCAATCCTTTTCAATAAATCTGGCATTATTTACATTTGCCTAATCTCACAGGAACTAGAAATGAATGTATTTTCAGTACATTTCTCTTGGGAAACAGTCTAAATTAATGGGATTTTTTTGAATCTTGCATTCCTGCCTGTTTGTGCGTATGCAGATGATCAACTGCAAAATGTTATATAGGAGTATTCCTTCTATCAAATGGTTCATGAAGCTCCAGATATCTCACTGGAAGGTCAGAGTCCTTTGACATTTTATAAAGACCTTAGCAATGATGGAATTCGTAGAACATGATAAAAAGACAAAAAATCAGAGTGTAACTCTAGTTTTATTGAGTATATCTTAAAAACTTTTGTTGGCCTTTGTGTTACCCAAATTTTAGTTTGACTCCATAGAAAGTACTTTGCCATAGGTTAGGTTGTCCCATATGTTTTTAGGGGTGTAAGTTATAATTCCACATTACATTCTCAATATATCCAGACAAATCCCAATTAACCTGATAGAATTTTCATTTCATCATTTCTGTTGATTATTTTTCTTATTTCTTTGCCTTGTGCTCAGCTCTAAAAATAGCCTGTAGCTATCAGTGACTTAAAGTTTTGCAAACTTAGGGAAAGATCTCAAGTCTGCTTTCTGGTTTCAGGCAAAAGTTTGAAGCCATTTCTTATTTTATCCGCAATATCTCTAGCTCTCACTAGACAACTGGCAGGGTTAACCTATGATAAATGCAGCCCCTAGGTACCACTAGCTTTTTCTGGGAGTAACATTTTTAAAAAGGAAAGGACTCTCCTGCTACTCTAGTTGCACTCCATTAGTGATGCTTAGATGTGCCATTGCCTCCCCATTTTTCTCAAAGGACAAGGGAAGGTCCATAAAGGAAGGCATGCAAAGGTGCACACAGTGTGCTACCCAGGCTCAGTGATAACCTTTCTACCCAGAAACACTTCACAGTTGTTTCTGAGTCCTTCTGTATTTTATGAAAGACATACAGCAGGTTCCCGGACTACAGAAAATAAAAAAGCCAAAGTCCGAAGTAGTTTAGAGTTGAAAGGCTGCAGTGTCCTGCAGAGAGGGAGCTGAGAGATTTACAAGAGAGGCTACAGTTCATCACATTTCAGTGTTTTCTGCATGCAAGACTTCACAAACGTACAAAATCCTTTGTGTCTGTCTGTGCTTGCAAGCAAATTTGTTTGTGTATGTTTCAGGGAAGGCATGTGCAGTGTCTTTTTTATGTCTTTTTTTTTTTTTTTGTCTGCTGTTTAGGGAACATGATAGCAGCTGCTGGAAGGTTTAGACTGTCATATTTCAACTGACTTGCATCATTTCTCTGGCTGTTATTCAGGGTGCAGGCTCTGAAATTATCTGCTTGGTTATGGTTTATTTCAGCTTCAAAGCAAAATGTCCACTTACAATAAGCA